ACTCAGCTCACACTGCTGTCTGGCTGGTGGTGGAGCTGCCCTGCTCTCTGCCCAGGGTGCTGTAATAAAGAGCTGGTCCTGAGAACCTGGTGTGGGGTGTGATGCTTCACTCGGACAGCGGAACCACACAGGGCTGCTGCCGGCGCAGAGGCAGATCTCGGAGAACTGGGCCTCGGACGGGCCGCCAGGCTTGCCCACGGCCCGGCTTCCAGACCGGCGCTGCAGCCCAGCGCGGGCGGCACCCCGACACCGAAACCCTGCGGCATCTTCCTCTTCCTCTTCCTCTCCGGCCACTCACACAAACCACCTTCTGACAGCAGAGCATGCTGGGAAATCGCGCTGGCCGTGGCAGACAAGGAGAAGACGAACAAACCTGTTTGGGAAATAGGGTGCAGTTAGTAAAAAAAAGTTATTATGAACCACAAAATTACTATTACAGGTATTTTCTAATTAGATGTTTCATTAAAAAAATCATCTAGTGTTTATTTTTAATGAAAAGGTTCTACCACCCCAGATGGGACTCGAACCCACAATCCCTGGCTTAGGAGGCCAATGCCTTATCCATTAGGCCACTGGGGCCGAGTCACTGAAATATTTGCCAGGTGTCCTTATAACATGATGCAGGACGGTAATGTTACTGCTAATATAGTATTAATTGTGTTCGTGCTTTCAGACACGAAAAACTATTTAAATACATTACTCACAGCAACCCCATAACGACATGGAAATATCAGGCATTTGACAGTAAAATTGGGGCCGAAAGCGGACCGCAGGTCGGAACCATACCGCCGCCCTTTGTTTCCCGCCGAGACCTGTTCCGGTTCCGGGAGCAGATCGAGGCGTTGCTAGGAGACGAGCGTGGCGACAATGGCTGTCAACACTAGCAGCCTGTTGTGATTCTGGGCGGTGCGAGTCGTCGGTCTGTCCCGGTCTCTGTCGTTCTTCCTCGTCCTCCTGCGTCTTTCCTGGTTCTGGGATCATCCTGGTTGCTCCCCTCGAAGCCGAGCCGCCGCCATGGTGAGTGAGTTTGGATAGAAAACCAGTGAAGAGAGGACTGGCGACTGGGGTACTCTGTGAAAACGGATCAAAACCGCAAGCTGGTGAATGTGCTTTACAATACGAGTAGTTGTAGCGGTTCGGGTGCCTGTGAGCCCAGAACACACTAGCAGCACAGCGCCGAGCCAGCTCCGGGGAGGCCCGCAGAGCCGGCCGGGCAGCGATTGTCAGCTCTGTTTCTGTGTTGAACAGATCTGTAGAGACCCAGTGGTGAGCTGCTGCCCCACTGCTCAGGCTTCTGTCATGCGCTTGTCTCTCCAGGGGGCGCTCTCTGGGGCTAACAGAGCACTGCGTTCCCTGTGTGATTGTGCACAGGTATATACTGTAACGCTCTCGGGTTCACGTGGGTATGCGCCCTCACTGCTGCCACCCATGGGGACTCGAACCCAGGCCTCCGACATCACTCAACAGGGACCCAGCCAGTTGAGCTAAAGGGAAATATGCGTTACAGTACAGTACACTA